AACAAACAAAAACAAACAAACAAACAAACAAACAAACAAATAAATAAATAAATAAATAAATAAATAAATAAATAAATAAATAAATAAATAAATAAATAGTGACAAAATTAGAATATGCTGGATTCTAGGATTTACCTTGCAAGTTAGTTAACAGAAAGTGAGTTTGGGGGTAGACATTTAAGCCAGAGAGCTTCCTTTCCAGCCCAATTTGTTTGTCTATAAAATACTAAAACATCATGGGGAAAGGGTTCTCTTGTCTTGCCTTGCCTTGTTTTGTCTTGTCTTGTCTTCATCATCTAATGCAGTGGTTCCAAACCTTAGGTGACCCAGGTGTTCTTGAACTCCAACTCTCAGTAGCGTTCACCACCAGTTATGCTAGCTGGGATTTCTGGGAGTTCAAGTCCAGAAATACCAGGTTACGAGAGGTTGGGAGCCACTGATTGAATGGATGTTTCTTCTACCTTTCTCTTGCAGTCCTCTGGAGAAATGAGGAAAACATCCATCCCACGTCCATGCAGAACTCTGTGCCGATTGTATTTCTGCTTTCAATACAGATTAGGAAAATGTAAGGGTTTTTTCCCACACAAACAAAATGTCAGCAACCAGACATTTACTATTGGACAAAACTGCTTAAATAATAACCCATTGTTGTGCAATACAACACAAATTATTATACTTATATAGGCCAAATCCCATGTTTTCTCTTTTCTTCTTTGTCAAATTTGAATCCTGACCTTCCTCCAGTGTGTTCAAGATGGCACCTCTCTCTGTCCCCACGTTTATACTCACAACTGGGCTTGTAAGGTAATCAAATTTGAGTGGGGAAGTGACTGGATCAAGGTAGTCCAGCCCCTTTCAGTGCTGAGTTAGAGCTTGAACCTAGGTTTGCTGAAATCTAATTCAACACCCTGACCACTGGCTCAAGAAGTTTTACGAGGACTCTTAACTTTACACACATATGTGTTTATATTGTGTCTAAATACTCGGATTTTTACCTGGAGTAGCCATCATGATGATGAAGCAGACACCCAAGAGAAGGTGGTGGATCTTCATGGCTGATGGATGGATGGGTGTGATCACTTCAGTGGAGAGAAGGAACTTCTCTTTAAGAAATATACAAAACATCAAAGCATAATCTCTTAACAAGTGTCAGGTCATTCTTCATTCTTGCAAACCGTTACTGTCTGCCTCCAGAAACCAATTTACAGGGGAGGGGACTCAAATCGTGGGACTCACTCTCAAGTCAGACTTAAATCACACCAGTGACTTGAATCAGATCTGACTCACATTTCTTTTTCAATGACTCAGACTTGACCTGCAACTTAGAACATACCTAGGTAAAGGTAAAGGTTCCCCTTGACATTTAGTCCAGTCGTGTCTGACTCTAGGGCGCAGTGCTCATCCCCATTTCCAAGCCATAGAGCCAGCGTTTGTCCGTAGAAAGTTTCCGTGGTTGGGTGGCCAGTGCAACTAGACACAGAACGCCGTTACCTTCCCACCATGGTGGCACCTATTTTATCTACTCGCATCTTTACATGCTTTCAAACTGCTAGGTTGGTAGGAGCTGGGACAAGCGACAGGAGCTCACTGCGTCATATGGATTCGATCAGCTGGACTTCTGACTTTGCAGCACAAAGGCTTCTGCAGTTTAACCCGCAGTGCCACCATGTCCCCAGAGCATACCTACCTCTCCCTTTTTTTCTAGGGGGGGTGTGGAATCTTGTTTTTGGCTTGGACTTGGGACTTCGAGCCAAAGCCTTGGACTCAGATTTGGTAATCAGACCAAAAGATGTGCCAACATCCCTGGTACTTTAACCAGAAAGGACAAATCAATTGGAAGTCTTTGTCTTGCACAGGACTGCCAGACTGATGTTCAGCTCTCATAACATTATTTTCTAGCATCATCATTATCTCTGTTGCTTTTGCTGTTGTTTCAACTAACATATCACCTACTTATGATACAGCATCCTCGGGGAGGGGGGTTAACCACATCATTATTCAAGGAACATTTTGCCCCCCAGTGAGCTGGGTACTCATTTTACCAACTCCAGAAGGATGGCAGGAGTCAGCCTTGAGCAGATTACCTGAACCTGTTGGGATTGAAGTCAAGTCATGAGCAGAAGCTTGACTGCAGTACTGCAGTTTAAGTCCTGTGTCACGGGGAAAAAGCTATCCTTTTTTTATTAAGATGTGCGGGGCTTTGCCCTCCCTTCCAGTAAATAAAGAGGCAAGATACAAGCTTGATTCAAGCTTGGACCACAGTTTTATTAACTATTTAATCCCTTAACCTGAGCAGCCTACATTATTAAAACAAACAAAAAAAAAGGTGTGCTGCTTATATACCTCCCCATAGTACTCTCTGCGCGGTTTACAAGTTAATTATGCAGGCTACACATTGCCCCCCCAGCAAGCTGGGTACTCATTTTACTGACCTTGGAAGGATAGAAGGCTGAGTCAACCTTGAGCCGGCTACCTGGGATTGAACCCCAGGTCGTGAGCACAGTTTTGGCTCCAGTCCAGCAGTTTAACCACTCCGTCCCAAGGTTCTTAAGTGAATAATATGTAGGAACAGGAGCAGGTGAGCCAACCAGACTCTTCTCCAGCTTGAATCAGGCTAGTCTCTTGTCTCAGAGCTGTGTTGTACATGGCCAGACCTGCCTGCTCCAGCCAGCTCATTTGGAGAGACATCCTTTGGACCATCTCCCTCTCAACGTTCCCTCTAAGCTGCACAGCTGCTGGTGGTGCTGCTGAATGGGATAATCAACATTACATGGTAAGGTATGATTAGTACTATTAACTTCTTCTTGTTGTTGTTTAAATGCTTAGTCGTGTCCGACTCTTTGTGACCCCACGAACCAGAACACGTCAGGCCCTCCCGTCTTCCACTGCCTCCCGGAGTTGGGTCAAAGTCACGTTGGTAGCTTCGATGACACTGTCCAGCCATCTCATCCTCAGTCGTCCCCTTCTCCTCTTGCCTTCACACTTTCCCAACATCAGGGTCTTTTCCAGGGAGTCTTCTCTTCGCATGAGATGGGCAAAGTATTGGAGTCTCAGCTTCAGGATCTGTCCTCCCAGTGAGCACTCAGGCTTGATTTCCTTCAGAATGGATAGGTTTGTTCTCCTTGCAATCCAGGGGACTCTCAAGAGCCTCCTCCAGCACCACAATTCAAAAGCATAAATTCTTTGGCGGTCTGCTTTCTTTATGGTCCAGCTCTCACTTCTGTACATCACTACAGGAAAAACCATAGCTTTGACTACGCGGACCTTTGTTGGCAAGGTGATGTCTCTGCTTTTTAAGATGCTGCGGAGGTTTGCCACCCCAACCCCAGAATAAAGACATGAGACAGTAGATTGGATTAAATGCGGGCCACACTTTATTTAAATAATGAATTCAGGAAAATTGACTTTCTGCCAGTAAAAGAATATGGGGGCCTGCTGTAGTGCGGAAAGCCAGTTAACTGGGGGTATTCCCATACCCCCTGATCAATAAATGGGGGAGTCCCCAGCCCCCAAGCTCCGGCAGTCCCGAGACCACAAGATCCTGGCTAGCCGCTAATAAACACCCCCAGACCTCAAGACATCTTTGACTGATGACTGTTGGTCCGGAAGTGGCCCAGCGCATCCT